TCGCGGGCGACAGTTAGTATGTCTCTATATATTTTAAGTATTAAAACTAGTTACTATTTTAATTAAAATATTAATGTGTAATGGTCTTTATTTTATTACTTGTATGTTTAGTGTGCATAGCATATGACCTCGCTAAAGCTCATTAAAATTTTCGCTTCGCTGACTCTTAAATATCACTTCCAACATTATTAGCAGTAACAATCTTTATTATTTTTGTAAAATCCTATAATACAAAAAACAATAATTTTAATTTCAAACAAATGTACTGAAAATCTTACATAATCTGGATGAATGTAACTTATATTTTAGTAACACTTAAGTAGTTTTATTATAATAACAATTACTATGACATAGTGCAGTAAGCCGCAGAAGCAAAGCCACAAACTTGACCTCGTCTTATCTAGCTTAATGAAAAGAATAGCAAGTTACGAAGGTCGGTCGCCCCGGGGTGTGGTATAACATTGTCGTGTGGCATTTATATTCAGACTCATGTTTACATGCATATATCATAGTATAGATTATTTCTATTTGATTTTTGTTAACCAGTCTATGTATTATTTTTAACATTTTATCTATGGATACCTTTCCATAGAAAAAATTATAGAGTTTCATAGAAGATTGTGGAGTTTTCAAATTAAAAAAAAAACATAATAAGTTGTCTGTGTGTTCTTTCAGACAATGTTATATATCCATCCACCTAAACATTAGTATTTATAATATTAGTAAGATAAGATTCGTAATTATTCTGCGTTAGTGCTAGAAATAATTTCAATGATACGTTTATCATTGCTGTTGGTTTGTTAGTGAATTCAGTTCTTATTAAATTAAATTTTAAAGTCTATTTATATGGTAGAATAGACTTTAATTTTAAAGTCTATAAAATGAAGATGGTATCCCGTTGGAAGTTATTAAAAGGAGTGACAAGTATCTAGGAAGTAAGATTGTACTATCGCTTGGATCGCGTCGCTCTGGCCTCTGTCCTTGGCCTCTATTCTTATTGATGTTTCGAGAACTATTCACCTTATTAACATAAATAACATCATTTACTTTAACCGATAACGCTTCGTATTTACATAGTCAGCGTATATTTAAACGGTTTGCCATTAAATTTTTGCTAATATTTTATGTAAGTAAACATTAATAATGTTAACATAACCTTAAAATTCCATTATAGCTATTTGCAGAATTTTAACATCACTAGAAGTTGCTTATTACGACATCATTTTAAAACATCAGAATGAGGAGCGAAATATAAAATATAAATCTAAATATATTTTATAATTGTTATTTTAAAATCGTAAAATCGCGAATAACCGACATTTATTTAAAAACAAAATAAACATTTTTAGCTCTTATTTTACCTAGTTCACAGATTATAAATTTAATTTTCTTGTAAAAAATCATCTCTATTAAGTAGATTTCAGTAATAAATATTAGTATTTAAAAATTGGCCAGCGTAATTGACCATGGCCTAATCACCACTAACTTAGGGTAGGCTCCGAGCCCCCCGGTGGGGACGTATAGTGAGCTGATGATGATGGTGATTTAAAAATTTACTACTAAGAAGTATTATTGAAATAGGTTTTTTAATTGCAAAGCTAAAGGGCACATGCATTAACAAAGACTAAATAAGAATACGGTAAGCTTCACCAAATGTATTGATGTGGCTAAAGCTATTTTACATTGCGAAGTTTACCCGCACGGCAATAACAGGTATGTAATTAGAATTCTTGCTCTCACCAAGACTTACGATTTCTCCGCGACACACACCAAACAAACATAAGCGCATTCCAACTGACAATATTCAAATAAATATTTAGATATATACTCGTATTTGTTACGGTAGCAACACTAATAATGTAAACAGCGAATAGTTTATAACGAGTTTGTTATAATGATTCCCTTGATTACACTATCATATCGTTTATTTTATTAATTATCCAATAGTCTATTTTAATAAGTAAAGTGGATGATTAATATTAGAGCCTCGAAAAATAAAACCCGGAAATATATCGTTACAAAGTAGTTAAAAACTATTATTACTAAAACAAAACAATTAAATTGAGGCAAATATAGTCAGGTTGCATTATGCTGGGTCGTACCAAACTATTCAAAAACTAGTGAAATTGCATTCAAACCGATTTCATAATATGCTGATCTTTATCAACCTGCCCTTATCCTTACGCAGGGTCGGCACAATATGTACTACTCTTCCATACATCTCTACCAGCTGTTATATCTGAATTACTTAATATGCTGATACGGAATTAATATGAGAATTTATTAACATACAACATACAATTTGTAATATGTATGCATACTTTTAGACTATTTTCTTTACCAGATTCAGGTCTATCCAAATACAGATTATGCAGATATTATCCTCAGTGCAATTTTTAGTCGTCACGTTAACATTCTGTACAAGAAAACATTACAGTACTGATGGAACACGTAATAAATGTCCTAAAGTACTATCGCGTAAGTCGGTCAGGTCATCTCATGTAGGAAATGCACGTGGAAAGTAGAAACGGAACGTTTTGAGCATACGCAGCCCACGCGCTGATCGACAATGTAATCACGTCCGTTTACGATGCAACTACACGTGGGATGTTTATTATCCCATCTACCTGGTGGTTAATCCTCGGCGCTATTTTTATGTACCACAGAGCAGATATTTCGTAATAATTTACACATAACTACAGTATACTGTTACTATCTCTATTAAGTTTTTAACCGACTTCAAAAAGGTGGAGGTTCTCAATTCGTCTGTATGTTTTTTTGTTCTTACAAATAAACTTTCTCTGTGATGTTCTTTGGTACACCATTCGCTATTGTTTTTTTTTAGTAATAACAGTTCCGCCTGACTAATATCTATAAGGTTTGATGTTATTGTAAACTGATAAATATGCTGTTAAAGTTAACAGTAAGTCTGTGAAGATGATTGTGACCAGATTTTTAGAATCTATAAAAAGATATAAATGTAGAAATAACTTTGAATTTTCCTGAAGCCTGATTAAATTCACTCATCTGATGTTATGTAAGCATCAATAAATTAAAAAGGTTGCGTTGAAAGCAGATATTCGATCTCCCTTGAGACTGGCTGGTGGACTGGTACGTGCGACAAAGAAAAAATGTTATGGAATGGAACGTGCCCCTATTTGTGGCGGAATAATTGAGATGACAATTTTGTAAGACGAGCTCCATCGTTCATGATGCAATATGTTCTTGATTAATTTACTAAGTGCCTTCGCTAAGGATTATAGTTATATTTTGAACACTACTTATATTATTGTTGTTTTATTAAACTTTTTAAATTTTAAACAAGCTGCCGCACGCGACTCCGTCCGCGTGGGATTAAAAAAACATAATTAGTAGACTATATGTTCTTCCAGACATGTTCTATATGTATGCCAAATTTCACAGAGATCCCTACAGCCGTTCATGAGTTACCTTCAAACAAACATCCACGCATTCATACATCTAAACATTCGCATTTATAATATTAGTAAGAAGTAAAATATGTGGACAGTATTTTCGTTGGTTCGCTTTATTGAAGTAGAAATAATCTGTATTTAAACTTGTGGTTTAGAAAAAGATCAATGACTATTTAGTTTGCGAATGTAATGCATCGTGTAGAGGTAACGTCATTTGGCAACATCCAGAGGTGACGACGATTGACGTCAGAATTGACCGAGGATTACATCACACAATGTCACAATCACAATGCAAATATTATATTTGATCTAAAAAGTTAATATAATGGTTAAAATTTAAAGAATATTTTAGTACCAAATAATATATTGAACCCATCTATAAAAAATATATCTAAAAATGATGAGATGATCAAAATGCATGCTTTAACCCGAAAAAAAGTTTGATTAAAAAAAAGTTTTGTTGGTGTATGCAACTAACGCATACTCTATCCGAGACATTCAATTTGCACGCAGTCATCAAACGAAGAACACATCATTAATCAACAATACACTACTATTATATTAATTTATATAATAGTGTTTTGTTTTTGTTGACAATAAAACAATTATAATATGTAATATAATAGTATTTTGTTCCCAATGAGTACAGTTCCGTAAATGCACTTTTAACACAATGAAACCTTTCAAACAAGACAACGGGAGTACTTCGCTGTCGTAAACAAGATAAGGATCAAATGACTTAAGTAAGCTACTTGGAGCACGTATCTGCTATCTGTCGAGCCAAGTGGGTCACCTAATAAGAAGATAGCTTGCAGGCAAAATGCTAAGTGCGACAAGCATATTGCGGATGTGGCGCTGGACGGAGGGTGCCAGCAACTATGCCATTAGGTTACCTAGCCGCGACGTGACTAACGCCATTTTAGATTACCTATACCCGATTTCCTGTACTGTTTGTATTACAAAGATGTCCAACGAAGGTTTCGAACGTGAGACGAATATAAAGCACTATTGTACTACGGCGTCAGTCATTAGCGATAGATTTCTAGCTATGATAATCGTGCTGTAACATTACGTGCGTAAACTAATATTGAGCTGGATATCAACCATTATGTTTACTATTAAAACCTGGATTTAAACGATTTGTTAACCTTTTATATTATCAGTATTCGCATAACAGTTATTAGTTACAGTCGTAATTGCATTAGAGCTAATTTTGCGCAATTTCAATTTGATACGGTCAAGTGTTGCACTTGTCTTATGAAAATTACACGTTTACTTGGCTATGTTGATATATATTAAATATTAACCTATTTTTGATCTCGGCGAGTACAAAATGTACTCGTTCTGGGAAATGGTGTTTACGTAAATACTGCTTTCACGGAGTATATACTACTACTATGTTTCATCTATAATAACAATTACAGTCAACTTATATTTCGTTTATGGTTATTTAACTCAATAGTTTAATCAATAAGTGTACGTTTTAAATTTTAAATAGGCACATGTCTAACTATCAGTACTATAAGGGATTTTTTTTGAAGATACTTATACTTAGTTTTATTACAGGATAAAGCACGTTTCTCGGATACGAGCTGGCAAATTCATCGATCATGGTCTCGCAATGGGAACCCACTGCCGCTATCGCCTCCGCCAAGCCGCGCTGTAGCGGGCGCGGGTGCGTCCGCCTCCAGTGCGACCCCACCTTCACGCAACGACGAGAATGGCATCTATGACACCATCACTGTGAGTACAATCATCACTGTATGCAATAACGACGCCTGACTTATGTATTGTAAACAATTTTATTTTATATGGAGTTGTTTTATTATCAGTGTGCATAAGTATTTTAAAAGTAACCTACTACTGAAGATGTAAGGTATATTGTATTCATTTAATTTTTTTTTATTGAAATATTAGCAGATTTTTTTGTAAATTTACTAATATTTCTTTAACCATTCCAACTAAGCTCTAGGCTTGTGCTAGGATATGGTTTACGACAATAGTCGAATGGCGGGATTCGAACCCCCGACCTCGTGGTCGGAAATCCGTGCCCTTAACCATTAGGCTATTGACGCTTTTTTTAATGAGTTCATAAAGGCTAATTATGGTCGGATTAATTGAGCTTATGTGACGAATTAAACCTTATATTAATGTCAAGAAATTGATGTTAAAATTATGTCCAAGACCTTTTAGTTGAAACTTAAGATACGATCTTTATCGTAGGTAACTACGCTAGCGTTGTTTTGAAATCATTCTTTGACATATGAATATATGTTTTCATCTTACAAAACTTGAGAGTAATACATATTTGTTTTTGTACCCTTGAGTCAAATTGTAATGTTCAAAGAGTAAGTTAAAATTGTTTACAAATTCACCTTAAATATCTTTAAAATGCCCTCCAAATATTAAATTATGTTAAAGGAATTGAAAAGCCTTTAAATTTGATTACCATTAGACATTATGGTAATCTATGACAAATCTAAACAAGATAAAATTTAAATATTAAGGTCGTATAAAAAGTTTGTATGTATTTAATCGAGAGACTTAACAAGAGGTTAAAAGTTAATATTCAATTAATAGAAAATTAAGAAATAAAAACCTGATGATTTGAAAACGGAACGTACTTAATTAAAGCAATTTAACATACAATCATTTTGGATGACTGTATCATCAAAAAGTAATCTTGATTTTAGATAAGGCACGTTGGTTGTAGTTATATGTAGATTCGATTATATGAGAGCGTCGGTGGCTCAGAGGTTTAAGCACTTGACTTGCAATCTGCAGATCCTGGGTTTGAATACCGCCATGTACCAATGTGTTTTTCGATTTTCGGTTTACATATATACATTTATCCGATGTTCTTACGATGGAGGAAAACATTGTGATGGAACCTGCATATATCTGAGAGGAAAATCAAAGATATATGTGAAGTCAACCAACCCACACTGGGCCAGCGTGGTTGACTATGGCCTAGTCACCCCTAACATAGGGTAGGCGCCGAGCCCCTCAGTGGGGACGTATAGTGAGCTGATGATGAATCATAAGTCGATATTATTAGGCAGTTATTGATAAAAATAGGCTTATCTTCAATATAAATATACCTACAGTTAAGACTTTTTCTTAAATTAGATAAAAATCATCGAGCATCATAAGGTTTAAAACTAATCATTTTTATTTCTTGACGATATAACTTGAGACATAAGTAATTGTTAAAAAAAATATTCTGTTTTGTCTATGAATGGAATCTTGTAATAACTTATTATAATAATGGTGATAACACCATCTCGTAAAACATATGAAGCCCAATTTAATCTAAATAATAGACATCGTTTGTAGAACATGAAATGGCATCAAATAAAAATTTCAAGAAAGTTAATATGCAACTCGTTAATTCTAACACCGTGAAAGTATTTACTTTGATGGTGTTACAGTCATTAACTGGTTGTGATGGACGCGATAATAACGCCAGTGTGGTCCGGGAAATTAAATTGAATAAGAAAGCCGATGTAGATAGGGCTGCCAACATTTAATAAACGCAAACCCCTATAAGCATCCGGAAAGAAAAATTTCGCCCAACCTTGATAATTTGTACACGACGAAAACTATAATATAAAAATCTAGCTGACTTTTTTCACACTATCCACTTTTGCTAGAAAACATTAGTCCAATATAAATATGTGCCATTTCCCCATTCAAACCCTGATAATCCCTATCATCGGCGGAAATTTTCGAAGGATACCCTTCCATTCGAAAGGAAGGGTTATCTAGATTTTTACTCACTAAAATCTTTCTCGGTCCCGTCATCACCAAATGACCCCATCGGAACTATCTGCATTAGAGGTGGCAGCCCTAGCTGCAGAGCTTGCGGGCCCCTAGGCGACCGCCGCGCCGCAGACACGTGACGTAAACATTGACCCTTGCTCGCTCTGTATACCTATAGATTTGCATTAACATGTCGTAAATCATTGCCCACCGCTCCCAAGTCCCCGCCGCGACTAATCTTATATCATACTTCAAGGTTTATGTTGTTTCGCTATAACTCGTGTCGGACGGCACCTTTGCCGCACGTTCTTCCACGAACTTCCTTGTCTTAAAATATTCAACCTTTTATGAATCTTGGTGGAAAAAGATTTTAAACGTCCGATATTAATAGATTTACTATTAATAGCAAATAATTTATATTTAACAGAGAAAGAGACAAAGAACTGGACGTAATTTTTTTTTTCGGATATATTAAATATTATACTTTTAAATAAGAAACATATATGTCACATAGATATAGCAGAGGTAAAACAAAGAATCATTACAAGTTTTATGTAAATTGATAGAAATATGTTTTTTAAGTTAATATTTATTTGCATAGCCCACCCATACTTACATCGAAATAAATATGCAAGAATGCTAAAGGCATTCTCTACCAGCTCACAGATGCTTACTTTTAGATTGGTTCAATATTGCATTTCCAGAGAGTGAAAAAAGAACCTTTTTGCCTCTTTTTTCAAAAGACAAGAAGAAATTTTAAAAATATGACATTTCTGTTACTAAATCCATTAAGAAATAGTTATGATCAAATATTAGTCATGTGTTTAAGCTGATATTTCAAAACTAGTAGTTGCAACAGACCTAGGGTGCCTGTAGCTAGCGAGACAATAATTTGTTTGTCAGCCATTGACGCCCACGCCACGCGCCGCAAACAATGAATGCAATTCTGGCTCAACGGTAGATACTCTAATCGCAGCATTAGCTAATGCTGCAAACGCGCAACTCTCCCCCTATATACGTTTCTATTAATTGGCAATACAATACTAAAACAGCAAAGTCCATTACCTACGATAAACATCGCATTTCTAATTAATAGTTCTTCGACGTCTGTGGATAGGAAATAGTAAGGGCGTCTGTTTAGAACTACATTTTTAAATTACCAAGTTGATTGGTACAAGACTTTATTCAAGACTAGATCGCCCGAGACTCCGTCCGCGCGTAGTTAAAATACTTAAATAGTAGACTATGTGTTCTTCCAGACTATGTTTGACATCAATGCCAAATTACCTCAAAATACGTTGCGTCGTCCTGGAGATACCTTCTAACAAACATCCATCCATACATCTAAACTTTGTCATTTATATTATTAGTAAGATTATGTTTAATATCGCCAAATGCTGTTTCTTTTATTAATCTGTATTTTGTCTTAGTTACATTATAAGTGACCAAATTTTCCATTGATTTTAATTTAAAATGTCTTTCCGCACAAAATGTGTACACCTCTAGTTCAGTTCATAATGGAGGTACAATGAATAGACTGAAAGTCATTAGAGCCATTTCCGAACTGACTGCGCCGAATCCGACCCTCGTACGATTTTATTGAGGTAATTGTGTCTGTGAGTGACTGTCGATTTCATTTCCGACCTCTACGAGCTCCCATTGCCGTTTAATACAACACATACTAATGTATGATATTATACATACTGAAATTATGTTTGCTTCGTAAAGACAGGAATACACTTTCAGTTTTAACTGCACAGACTATTTAGTAAAATAGGAGAAGTAGGAAAAATATGGATTGCACGAAATTAAATTTTCGACTTAGGCAAATAAAGTAGATATATTAGTTTTCGAAGCTACGAAATTAAATCACAAAGAAAATCGCGCGAGCTTCATGAATAAAAGATTCGTTCAGAGAAAGGGATATACGCAGATGAGGTCGTATTTTAGCTCTGGAAGCTAAGAATGAATAAATTAGGAACCGGAGTAGCAGCAGGTAGATAGTGCGTCCAAATAAGAAACTCAAATACAAAACGCATTTTTGTATATTATTTTGTTTGTCGTAAGTGTGAATATTTTCAATAAAAAAAAATATTCAATGCAGTGTTCTTTATTAGGATACGAGAAATAATTTCGTTGTTATTAAAAATTACCTTAAAATTAAAAAAAAACAACAAAACTCAACCTGTGTTCCAAAGGGGGTAGACGGATTTCTATGTGACATTCTATGTTTCATTCAAAAACTGTGATTAATTTTATTTTACCAACCTATTGATATTTTATTCCGATCCAATTATATAAATAACTAATCATGTTCATACGTGAGTTTGCATGAAATTGAATTGCTGGCATTAGCCGGCAGTGCATAATCTGGCAACTTACGTAACGCAAAATATTTATCTATTCTAGAGAATTGCTACTAGTGCGAACTCTTTGGAATTTTAATACATTCAAGGTTTGCCCGGGCACCGGCGCTATCGAGGCTAGGCATCTTGAATTTTTATTTACAGTCTATGATCTCATCATGACGTATCAGTATAAACAAACATTACTTACGCCTATTTATTACCTGTTTTGGTTACGTTTTAATTTGACAAATGATAAAGAATTACATACGAATATTAATGTGTTTCTTTTATACTTCATTACCTATCGCCCGCGACTCAGTCCGCGCGAAATTAAAAAAAAAATCGCAGCATAATGTTATAAAGCCTTAAAGCCTTCCTCTATAAATGGACTATCCAACAAAAAAGATTTTTTCAAATCGGACCAGTAGTTCCTGAGATTAGCGCGTTTAAACAAACAAACTCTTCTGCTTTATAATATTGGTATAGATAATATAATAATTGATGCAGGATTTTGCAATCTAATGATCTTTTGATACTGGTCGAACATAAATTTATATCCTTGACTTTAAAACGAATTTTTATTTGATTCATATATCAAGAACATTAAGTAACTTCCTTATGATCACTCGATTT